ACTGGGGAGCCGCGGGCGGGAACGCGGTCGTGGCCCCAGACCTGCAGGACCAGCGCCGCAGGCTGCCGAGCTCGGCGCCTCCAGCGCGAAGGGCCGGCGCCGGACGCTCACCTCGCGCTCCGGGGGCAGGTAGTGGAAGCGGAGCACAGAGCGCCGCTGAAGCTCCCCTCCGCAGTCGGAGAGGTGAAGTGCACGCCGTCTCCTGCTGGGCGTGCTCCAGCCCCTTCACCCAGCTGAGCCCGGGGCCAGGGGCCATCTGAGAGCCACCGGGGCCGAGCCCAGAGCCCACCCGGCCCTCGGCTCGCCCACCAGCCCAGGTCCTCCGCCCAGCTCCAGGCACCTTAGAGGGCTTAGGGGACGGGCCGGCTCAGCCCCAGGGCCCAACCCAGTTCGCAGTCTCACCCGTGTGCAGGTTTTTGTAGGCCCGGCGGCAGGCCTACGTTTTCACATAGATGTCACTCAACATCTCTCCACATCATCCAGAACCACACCCTCCGTGCTCCAGACGACGACTCTGAGCTCATAGTTGGGGATATACTGAGGGAAAGGGGCTTCAGACTCCAGAGGAGGCCTGGGAAGGGCTGCGGGAAGGACTTGGGCCCGGGTCACTGACATTCACGGAGCACCTGATGTGTGCCCAGCGGGGCCATCAGACTGTCTGTGGTCCTTTAAAGGGCAGGTATCACTGACCACCCTGGCCATAGCAGATGGCACCCAGTGGATGACAGTAACTGTGCTGAGTGTATTTCATGGCCATCCACTTAATCATTCTACTTAATGGCACCTCCTATATGCAGGACTTGTGCTATGACACCCTGAGGGAAAGGGGTTGCAGCCAGAAATGCATAGGACATGTTCTCTGTCTTCCAGTAGCTTTGTGGACTCCAACATCAAACATAGCCTGGAACAACTGCATTCCCCATCAGTACAGGAACGAGTCAGGCTGAGTTGCTTGGAGGAGGGAGGTCAGAAGGCCTTCCCTGAGATGGGAGCATTTAAAATGGGCTTTGAGGACAGGAGTTGCGCAGAGATGGACATCCGGGCAGTGGGGAACAATGCAGGGCGTGTTCCTGGATCTGTGATTTGTTCAGTTTGGCCTTCGTGTAAGGAATGTATTGGGCAGCCGCAGCAGATAAGATTAGACCGTCAGGAGCTGGGCCTTGCTATGTGGCCTTGAGCCAGACGTGGTCCCTTCTTGTCTTTCAGTGTCTCCTTCTCAATAGTGGGGTTAGAAAGTCCTAATCTACCTATTTCTCAGGCGTGAGGTACTCAAATATGTTTTGGGGTCTGTAGAACAATAGGCAAGAGGCATGGATTGTTCTGTTTCCTAAGCAAGGTTCAGGTTAGACCTTAAGGCCCCCAGATGTTGGGGGAGGGCTTCACCTCCCCATTTGACATGTGGAGCCAAAGGAAGGCAGAGAGGGGACCAGAATTCTTAGCTTGCAGTGCCTTGGCCTTTCCCTTCCTTCCTCCCTGAGCTCGGTGGCATCTAATCAAGCAAGGTATTGATGTCATTCCTCTGGAATCTAACGCAGGCACCTCCATTCTGGGCTGGAACACAGCCTGGCAGGTTCTCCCTGGGCCTCAACCCCTCTAACAACTGTCACTGCCACTTTCTAACATTCCAAAGATGGGATGTGGAGGAAAGAGTAATGGGGCTTTAGAATTCTAATCTCCTGGCTGGGCGTGGCTCAGCGGTTGAGTGTTGACCTAGGATCCAGGCGATCAGGGTTCGATTTCCGGTCAGGGCACATGCCCAGGTTGTGGGCTCAATCAATGACTCTCTCATCATTGATGTTTCTATCTCTCTCTCTCCCTCTCCTTCCCTCTCTCTGAAATCAATAAAGATACATTTTAAAACAAATTATAATCTCTATCACCATTGTGTGGTTTTAGGAACATCCTTCCCCCTCTTTGGACCTGTTTGTCTAGCTGTGCAATATGCACAAGGTGCACTGAATTGCTTTTCAAGTGTGGTGCTTAATCAGGATCATACATGTGGTTAAAAATGCACGTTCCTGCACCCACTCCAGAAATGCTGAAGTAGAACCCCAAGGTGTGCCTGGGAACCTGAATTTCTGTCTGCTGCACTGGTATGCTGTTGCACAGAAGTCCTGCGAACCTCTGGTCTCTTGGCTGTGACCATGTGATTTCCCCATTCCATTCTTGGAGACTCAGGTGGTTGGTTTGCCTGTGGGTATGATGATTGGTGGGTACTGAACTTTCACCCCACACACCCCTAGTGAATATGGGTCTGAGAGAGGGACCCACAGATCCCGAGTCAGAGTTCTCAGGCCTGATGACTAGCATGAGAGGAGGGGCCTGGAGGGTCTGCAGAGCAAAAGAGACCAAATGTTTATTTAGAAGCGCCCTGGATAAGCCCCTCACTCGTCAGCACTGAGAACCTATTACACGCTAGGCCTGTCGAGGGTGCAGAGGGTGTAGGACAGGTGTTCCTCTAAGCCAAGTGCAGTTTTACAACAGGGTGTTCTGGGAAGCGCCGTGATGTCATCGCTTGCTTTAGCATGGGAAAGACTGCCATGGCTCCCAGTGACGTCACTACTCGCTCTGTGACGCTTGGTCCCGGCGTTTGCTGGAGACCGCCGTCTCCTCTATGACGTCAGCGGACAGGCTCAGAAACCAGGGAGAGGGTTGGATCTGGCGGCGGGGCCCGCCGGCGGCAGCAGCTCCGTGGGGTCTCGGCTGCGCGCACCGGCTGGGGGAGGCCGAGGGGCTTGGCGGCGGCGGCGGCGACTTTGGCGTCCGTGAGGGCCGGCCCGGAGTCAGGATGCGGCGGAGCCCCCGCCCGGGCTCGGCCGCGTCCCCGCACAAGCACACGCCCAACTTCTATAGCGACAACAGCAACAGCTCAGTGAGCACCACCTCGGGGGACAGCAGCGGCCATCGGTCCGCTGGGCCGGGGCCCGGGGAGCCCGACGGCAGAAGAGCCCAGGGCCCGAGCTGCGGTGAGCCCGCCTTGAGCGCAGGAGCGCCCGGAGGAGCCACCAGG